CGAAAGGTGGACAGGATATATAAGAGATTATTGAGAGCGCTGAATCCATCTATTATCCAGGTCAAGAATCATCACAGGTAAATATCGTCCATATAAATTTTTAGATGTTCATGCAATCAAATGGGCGAATATCCATTGGAGCAAATCAACCATGATTATGCGTATGCAAAGTGTCCAAAGTATGCGGGCATCAGTGGAGCCCTGTTTGCTTCCCTATATGATATGAATAATGCCAATCAATTATTTAAATTTGATAAAATATTTGTGGGGAGCAAACCATGTCTGGATCATGCTGAATACATCACAAGACAGGTTGATGAATTGGAGGGCTCACAGGACAATGTCTCGGCGGATCCCAAATATGCGATTAGGGATCTTATCCGTCTGATGATCTCGACAGGATTGTCGACCAATCCGGCAATGGTGTGAGACACGGAAGAAGCAATCTGTGGTGCCCCGGCTTGGGAGATAGGTGTATAGAGGCACACATTGAAGCCTTGGATAGGCATATTGTTTTATCAATCGTATCAGGATCCCCGAAATAATTTTGAGAATTGGATGTTGCAGACATATGGGTCTAAGGGTCGCTGGTTAAATATTAGCTTTACCAGGTTTGGGCATGAGATATAACCAATCTGCCGGCCAATAGCTGGGTGACTCAACGACCTCTGCACACCAATGATGTTCGATTGCCCGATAGATTGGACCCGCAAGTGCTGATGCAAGCTGGTGCCAAATCCTGGCAGGTATATACGGAAGGGCAAAAGCTTTCATGATAGGGAGCCTACGAAATCCCTGCAAAATATCCTCAGATGTGAAGGGGAATCTGACCAATGGGGAAATTGGCGGGAATTGGAAGTTCGAATCATGAAATAATCGCCCAAAAAATTATTCAAGTTGCTGGAATTCCTAAGCTGGCATCATTGGATATCCATAATTGTTATATTTGGATAAAATGTGGTCTTTGCTTTGGGCACAACTTGCGCACTTTGCGAAACCAAATATATGTCTGATGACGAAAGGCTAGATCCGCCCCTTCCTGGAGAAATCCTTCAAGTCTTTGCTTCTTATTTTGGCGGTTGTATGAAAGCAACGAAATTTGGCAAATTGTTGCCAGCCCAGAAAAATGAATGCTACGATGCAATCCTTCAGGTCACGAATTGCTTTGCGGGCCTGCCGCATGCAAGTGGACAATGAGGTCAACTTCATGCAATTAATAGCCTAGGGTTAAACAATGGGGACGTGATCTAGGATTGGGGCTCCATTTAGGGATGGATCAATAGAGCGGATGATGAGAAAGACCTAATTGACCGAAATTGAATTCGAAAAAAATCAGTAATGTGGGTTCAATGAGGGGCCAACCAATTTGTAAGCGTCTCACCAATGCAAAATCAATGCGTGATGCATGCGTGCCACGTTGGAACGTGGCTCGAAATCTATCACGGCAATGAAGAACGATCAAATCAAGGTCCTAAATCAATTATATAAAGATTTATTTATCCCGTTGGGCAATCTGCGGATATTTAGAATCCACTGTATAAATTCAATAAGGAATATGACTTAGTGGTATACTAAAATCACCGCAAATTATCATTAAAATACCGCTAGGGGAGACGTTTAAGACATTGCTGCAACAAAATCTAAATTTGCTTGCATTTAGAAAATATCTATTAAATTCATATTAAATAAACGAAGATTATTAGTACACGATATCATACGATCTGCCAAAAATTCAAACGTATCTAAAGCAGGCGGCCAGGGACATGCACTATAACTAAAATCTAGTTTCTATGTATCTAGGTAAAGCGCGCCATAAGCAAAGTCGAAATAACGGTCTATATCAGATATCAATTGATATTGTTCCATTCATTCGCCATGGATCATCTAGATTTTTAAACGATGATGAAATCGTAGGAATTATTATCATATCAATAAATCTATATAATCAAGAAATCCCTAAGTATTCCATTCAAATATTCTAAAATAATCGGACAATCGAATAAAAATAAACGGTAAAATAAAAAAATGAGGTTTCGAATTAATTTGCTTTTCATTTATAGATTATTTCAATTAAAAAAAATGCTAATATAGATATATCTAGCATATCCTCGAATATTTCAATTTATTACAACGTAAATATAACGAAATTAGACCTAAATCCGACGACGTCCAATCCTCATATTTTTTGCAATAAGGCTTTGAAGAATTAGTAATTCTCGATTGCTCTCACCAATTCCTAAAATCGGATAAATAATATTCGCGCCGGACCCTCGTATTACAAAATCAACGAATTCATCAAGATTCCCCGGACCGGGCATTTCAAATAAATAAATATTTGGCAGTAAAATAAAAATTAACATAAATAATAATTAAATCTCAAGAAAAAAACAAACAATAAATCAAAGGTAATCCTAAAAAGATCAAAATCCCTTTCTATTAAAATAAAATCTTGCTTTAAAAAAACAAATTTAATACAATATATCAAATATTAAAGACTAAATATTTTTCAAAATATCAATTAAATTTAAATCATTTTTACAATCTAGACATAAAAAAAAATTATTTTTTACGAAATTTTTGGCCGAATAACCACAAAAAAATTCTATTCATTATATAATTTAAAAAGATTTTTGCAAATTTTTAAAACACTAATATTAACCAAACATATTTTAAAATTCCCCTACCAAAATATAATCAATAATATTTTATAATAATATAAAATATATATAATTTTAATTCATTCCAATTCAAAATAATTTTTTACCAAAACATCGCACGAACATCATCATTTTATATCATTTTAAAGCCTTCAAACACCGAAACAACCATTTCAAAAAATATAGAATTTTAAAATAATTAAATAAACAAATAATCAATAAATATTTTATAATTATTTTAAAATCTATTTTATACCGAATATATTTATAAATCCATAAAAATATTTTATCAATTTTTAAAATTCATTTTATTAACAAAAAACCCATATAAATAACATAATTTAAACCCAATTTCATAAATAAAAACAAAAAACATTAATATTATAACCATTAACAAAACCAAAACAAAATAAACATATTAAACAAACAAATACTAGTTCCCCCCGGCCTCTAAAATAAAATATTAATAAACAATACCCAATAAATATATATATTTTTATATAATAAAAATAAAATCAAATTCAATTAAAATAACCATTACCTTTCGTAATCAAATTCAAACATAACCTTATCCCTCGAATCCTACGCGCACTCCATCCGTTTAATTTTAAAAACTAAACTAAAATAACGCTCAATATCAATCCTTAAAATCATTTTACAATATATAATATTTTAGATTCTAATCCCAAAATACGTAAATATTTTTTAAAAAATATATATATATCAAAAAAAACTATTACAATATTAAAATCATAATTCTCCAACACATATATTATATATATATCCATGAAAATATTTCAACTCTATTTATATTTAAAAAATAGACAATATTAATTGTACAATTACAATACAAAATATACTATATTATAGCAAATATATATGTATATATATTACAATATTTATATAATTACTATCTACAATTTAAAAAATATTCGATTCTTTAAACTCAATTTTTAAATTCATATTTTACTAATGTAATCCTATATCCTCCACTAAATTTATACAAATATATTTCGGAAATTCAATGATACCACCATAGGCTACTATCAATAATACTTGAGCGGGGAAACACGAAAGGTAGAGACAGACCGGGTAGCTGTCGCGACCAGTTCTGGTGAGGGACTGTCTCCGGTGTTTCAGGAACATTCCTCTTGGTCAATCATGGATAAAACCAACAAAGCCAGAGAGCACAAGAAGGCTCAAGAGGAACACCGTTGCGGTCAGATTGCGCCACACTGCTCTGCAGAGAGGCTGCGTTGCGTCGACGCTCGTTTGCGTAAAGGTATGTGAAAACAGGCGCGCGCAAAAAGTCGCAATGCGTAAACGCTCGCATGTGTACCAGCTATGGTCACACAGCTGCACGCACTGTGTCAGGACACAGGCCTGCACGAGTTGCGTCGAAGCGGCAGTGACCAACCCCCTGTAAGGATAGTGCTGGAGGGGGCGGCCGGTACTGCCAGCGATGGACGTCACGCTATGGTGGGTGGCTGATGGGAAGGGTGCGTAAAGAGCTGTGTGGCGGTGCTCCACGATGCGGTAAGATGCCGCCACGCTAGGGTGTAAGGCTGAGTCGAATGCAGGGCTTTGCAAAGAGGCCGTGTTGCATCGATGCTCGTTGGTGTCGAGCAATATGGTCTGTGAACGCAGTACGCGCTGTGTCAGGCTGCCGGGTGCGCGCGCGCGGCACCGAAGCCGCATTGCGCAACCTCATTGTGCAGGGTTCGTGCTGTATTGCGCAACCTCATGGCCAGCGTCGTACTGCTGTGACTGCTTAGCGCATGACTTCACCTTATGGTGTGATGGCGTGTCCAGAATGCTAGTAGTGCTGGCGAGGGGAGGGGACGGGGAGGGGAGTGGAGGGGGGGGTGCAAAACAATTATACAATTTATCAATGAATCATCACATGGGAGGGGGGGTGAGGGGTGGGGGTGTTAGGCATTGATCTACCAATCTTTAGTCCCGAGCAGGCTCTCAAGCCAGTCCCTTTGCTTCGCAAAGCAAACTCAAGGTAGTCCTTACCAGGCTACCTTTCGTGACAAAAATTTCATAATTCAAAACTATATTTGAGAAAAGGGAAACACGAAAGGTAGGGAAGCTGGAAGGTGCACGTGGGGGAACCCAAAAGGCGCGCACAATTGCATCCCAAAGACAAATTTGTCGATCCGATGATTTGTGTCCACTCCGGGACGACGTGGGGGGGCGTCCAAATGTCAATGCCCAGGAAGGCTAAGGGTGAAATATAAATTCCAAACGGTTTGATGTAAACAGTGGGTGTAAATCGTGGTGTGTGTAAACCGTGAACAAAGCAATGTATTAACCAGAGCTGCTGACTGCAATGTTTCAATGGAAATGGCTTATGATTAGGCAATTACTTGCCAAAAACTATATGACCTTTTAAATGAAGGCCGTGCCTTTGCCAAGCTCAGATGCCTTCATGAATCCCATCCCCTTTGCCTCGGAGGCTCAAAGCGGCAGCGGCTGCCGAGGTGCACCGCATGCGGTGCCATTCCGTCTTGACGACTCGAGTTCTAAACCCGACCCCTGATTCTACCCACATCCTCCTCCTCAAGCTCTGGTGATATTGTTTATTTTGTTTTGGGAGCAAAAAGCAATCCAAGTGGCAAGAACGCTGGCTATCCTAATTCTATGGACATGCTTCTGTGATTGCAACTTTGGGAGCCACGTGCTGATGCCATGAACGGCGGTGAACAATGGTAAACCGCATCAGTTTAGACTTTCCCATCCTTGGTCAACTCCATCCTTCAGCGGTCCAGGAGCCCAGCAGGCCCCGCATAGCATTGGGGGTGTTGGACCTCAAGAGGCCAGACTGGGTGCGGCCATATGGCTGAACAACACTGGGTGCGCCCACGTTTTCGGAAGAAACTGGCGCAGCTTTCGGGTCTGCCTAAGAAAAGCACTGCAAAATCCTCAGCAGCATTGGGGAGAACAAGGACCTGATATCACTGCAATCACGGTTTTCACTAAACATTCTCCTTGTGGCACCCTCCACCTCCAAGCGCACATGAGCGGGGTCATTGGTTCACCAAAAGGACTATGCGGCAAATGTACCGGACACTTGCACAATAGTTGATGCAAGGCCAGGAAGGCGAACTGCACTGCACCCTAAGCCTAAGCTCTACAATGCAAATGTTCCCAGTGCTGTTCTTCTCGCTCCATAGCGAACCTCAGGACATGCGAAATACAAGGATCGGCAACATCAATTGTTGCGGCTGCGGCTGCTGAGCGTGATGATATATGCATGGTATACCACGGTTCCTTGATGGCTTCTGAGATGCTCAGCGAAAATCCATTTCTTTTTGTCAATGTCATTTTTGACCACTACAAAACACTCTGAGAATGGATTGAGCGAGCTGCAACACGAAATGAGATAAAGTAAACCTTTCCTGACCTACAGTATTGCGTGTCAGGAGGGTTTCCACGGTCTGCATGTGTATACATATATAATAATATATAGATAGATAGTGAGTATTCTGTCTGAATAACATTGAATGACCACAATTGTGATGCTGGCATACAGAAACGTTTCTCCGTAAAGTTTTGTGTGGGTCAGAATTTGTTGTTTCCATCTCCCAGACCACTCTAGACTTGCTTGCTGCATCTTGCTGCTAAGACTCCATCTACCCCTACTAAATCAATGAGGAGCGCAAGTGATCTAGTTTTGGAGGGGAATCGCCAATGCTTCTACCAATGCTTGCAGTCACACACCCTTGCCGTTTGAATGGTGTAATTGTGCTTCATGCCATTGCCATCATGTCATGTTGGGATTGTCGATCGCCAAACGCAATTCTTGCCGAGCCCGGACCTGAAGATTGACTTCATATCAACGCCTACATTTCAGCAAAGCGGGCTCAAAAGCCCAAGCCGTGTCTTCAAGTGAGTCTTGACATGGGGTCTCCTCTCCAAAGCAAAACTGAAGTACAGCCAGAAAGAGAGGACAACATTTTCAGCTTGGCCTGTTGTCGTTGGCCATCCAAACCACTAGATAGAATTCTGCAATTATACATTTACTTATACATTATATATATATATATATTGAAAAACTCCTAAACAATCCATTTTTCCCATCTTCTTCTTCATACCGGATCGATCGACGCCATCTTGAACCCGAGAAAGCAGGTCCACGGTCGGTCCATCCGTCAGGTTCCCGCCCAACGGCCCAAGGGCGCGCCCCAACGGTCACCCTGTTCTTCTTTGAGCAGTCCTGTCAGGATGAATCCATGATGATTCTTACAGATTCTTTCTGAAAGGGCACGTGTGACTCACATCACCTGACTCACATGACCAAACCGGCGAAGTCTCCAAATCTTGCTAAGTCTCCAGTGGTCACAGCTGGTCGCCCAACAACTCCGTTTCAAATGCAGCCATTTCCGCACTTTCACAACTTACAACTATTGGTATTCTCATTTTTTTGCATGCCGATTGCATCCTCGAAACGGCATCACTATCCACCACTTTCTTGCCACCAAGAAGAGCCTGGAAGAGGCTTAATTGTGGACCCTGGAGAACCTGTTGAAAGCTCTAACGCAGGACCTCTCAAAGGGAATTGCTTGGTGTTGACAACACCCACTGAAACCAAGCCTATCTGCTGTTTCTTTCTCCAGGCCACATCCACCCACCGCCCGTCAAGTGGCCAGCAGTGCCCGAGAGAAGGGCACGCCTGTTTCGCATGCGGGTTTGTTGACACTTGGAAAAAGGGCTTCTAGTCCTATAACCCAACGCAAAAAAACCAAACATAAAGCCTGAAAGCACTGGTCTTGTAGTCAGGGGATCCATTTTGAGGTTTTATGAGCGGGGCATGTATCTTCGACCCACATCGGATACAGTGTACACAAGGGGGCCCTGCTCAGCTTTGATTTTTGGAGCCAGGGTATACCTCAACATGATTGCAACGCCAGTTGCAAATCTCAAGATCTGAAAACTTCGGTGTTCTGGATCGACCTGAAGAAAACACCCGAAAACCACGCTCGTCGCGCGCGTCGACGAGAGCGCGTGTCGGACGCGCGAGGTCTGGAGACTGATCTATTGACACACATCTGACCAAGGCAGTGGCTAACTCCTAGCCACCCCGAGAAAGCACAAAAGAGGAGCAACTTGGAACAGGTGCACGTTTACATCGAAGATGGGATTGAAGATGGAAACTACAGTTCACGGACAACGCTCACCAGCATCGTTCTCATGCGAAGCTGTTCTGTTTTCAGCTTTGGGCCCCAGGGCGGTTTTGATCTACCGTCCTGAAACCTCCTCCAACAGGCGGCTATGCTTTAACCGAACAGAAACACTGTCATCCACGCGCCGAGTCGGGCGAAGCTCTGCTTCGCTGACAAATGCGACGCGATGCTTTCTCAGAGCTCTTTCAAGCGAAGGCTGCCAGGACCCGGTAGCCAAATGATCACCTGAGGACTGGTGAAGCCAGTTATGTGAGTCTTGGGCCTTTTCCACGTTTCTTGAGGCCTTTTTCCATGTTTCTTCATCCGTTTTTTGGTTTACAAGTAGGTCCAGTAGGTGCTATGTGGTGATGTGGATGAGGGCCGGAATGCCTGGGATTCCCCCTGCCGCACTGGAGACGCAAAGAAATTTAGCGGGTGGAAGTGTAGCAGGGATGCCCTAGCAGTTGACAAGACCCGGAACATCAAGAAACAAGAGACCCGGAACATCCGTTTTCCCAATATATGCAGGGCCCCCAGCTCATCCCAGCTCCTGGACGTCTACCGAGGTCCATTTCAAGCCATCTCTGCAACACGCTCCGCGGCCCGGGGACCGAGGTGATGCCCATGGTCAGGAAGAGGTTCCCAAAGTAGCGACCTGGGAAGTTCCCAAGACGCGAGGCGAAAAACCCCGCAGGGTTGGGCCTGGCCGTTTGGAGTGGAGAGGAGGATTGGGCTTTGGATAGGTTTCTTGGAGGGAACACAGCTAGGTGGCTTGGGTGAGGTCTTCAAAATAGAGTCAAAGGGAGAAAGTTCTCATGTTGTTGAACCTTCCTTGAATCGATTCAAACGTTGCCCTCGAATACAGGACTGTCCAGCATGCCCATCTCCCTCTATTCGGACCAAAGGTAGCTGGGACCATCTGCCATCATTCCGGGCTGTCCTTCTCCCATTCCCACCAAACGTCTTTATCAAGGTAATGAGACCCTTTCAACAATCAAACCTACAGCTAGACTAGAGCTACCAGGAATCAAACCTACAGCTAGAGCTGCTTTCTGTCCTTTTAACCACCAGGAATCAGGACCTACAGCGACCGACGGATTATTGACGGAGACTCGTCTTGTATACAGCACCGGCGAGTTGAGATCCGTCACAGTGGAAGAAGCACCTCATCTGCTGTAGGTTTTCTCAGCTCTGACATCATTTGGGAGTTAATATTCTTTCATGATGGAATAGCCTTTCACCAATGTCGTTCTATGTGTATAAGTATATATATATATACATATATATACACAGTATAATCCCATTGTTGCACCGGCCTTTGTGGGACACGGAGCGTGCAGGCTTCGACTGGTGACAGGAGTTCAGAGCGTGCTAGGACGTTGTCGTCTCGTGTCGTCTGCTTAAACGGATGTGTCTTCAGGATCCGGCGCGAAAACCATGAAAAGCGCGAAGAAGCACTGAAAACAGGCCACTGAAAACGCGAAAACCGACAGGAACAGAAGAGGCAAACATTTACTGTGGCTTCGATGACATCGGGACTTTGCGACGAAAAACTATGTCACATGTCACAAACCAGTGGACCCCGCGAAGCATGTCACAGCGAAGCATTCAAACGCCACTCGCAGGCCCAGCGAATCCAGTGGTTTGAAACACAAAAATCCTCAAAAATGGCTGGTGAAGACTTGGACAATGCCTGGGCTGGGGTGGTCAAAGTTCATTTTCCAGTTCATGTACAGTGACAAACATGTACGAAACGCACCTCATTTTGTCTGAATGTACCGGACCAAACACTTTGAACGAGGGGTGGCCATACTTAAGTTGAGTACGAGACGAGCCATTTTAAAGCCTTGAAACAGTAGACAGGTGTATACATACATATATGCCCGCCACTTCAATACAAACCATATGTGACTAAAGGCAACAACTGGTGAACAAAAGACTTGAGTTGGATCTTCCAGGGAAGATTCGCCTTTGTCTTCTTCCTCCCAAGCACCTTTTAGGTTCTAAGAAGACATGTGTAAACGCGTAGAATCATTTCTCGTGACAGTTCGCTATATTTTCCGTTCTAAGCTGCTAAGTATAAGTTACTGTAAGTCCATCACGATACATGCCCTCTGCACAGTGTTCTGATTAGGATTCAGAGTGCAAAGCTGACCGCGAAAACGGTCAAAACCGTGAAAAAGGCGGAAACCAGGAAAAGCGAGGAGAACCGCGAAAACCACGGACATGCAAAAACCATCGTAACAGCGAAAACGGCGAACACCACAAGAACACGAACACCAGGAAAATGCGAACCCCAGGAAAACTGCAAACCCTGCCTTCAAGCGAAGGTTGACTCGGTTTTCTAGGTTTTCTCGTTTTCGCGGGTAAATCCGCTTAGCTCGATGTCGCGCAAAATGATTGCTGACCAGTTTTAGGCCCAAGTGACAAAAGGCCTGGCCGTGCCACTGCAGCGGACGCAAGAGCCATGCTGGGCGCAAATTCTCTAGCCAGGACAGCGTGCCTCCCGGGCTGGCAGACTGTTGCAATTGTATCGTTGAATGTGTCTAAAGATGGCCCAAGCGCCTCTTCCGATGACCATTCTTAGTAAAGGAGGGATCCCGGAAGGCTGCTTCTAATTTCTAGTGCCACCGCGGCCTTAGCGGACTCGTCCCGTACTAAGTAAAGGATGCAGAAACACAGTAAGTCCGCTCACGACTACGGCTACTTCTTTCGAATCTGTGAACAAAGACCAGCCACCGAACCCACATTGGAAGGATCGTTTGCCTCCACATCCTGCACAGCTTCGACTTGACGTTCGTGCCTTCGGAATCCTCCGCCACCAAGGGCGAAGGCTCATGCGCCCCCAAATGCGCCGCACTCTTCGCATCGCCGTCGGTAAACATTTCCTGACCAGAAAGAAGATGAAAGAAGAGGGACAAATCACCCGTGTGATGATGAAGGCATAGCATAGCAAATCCAAGTCCTTGTTACGAAGCACAGCCACGCTTGACTTTCTGCATCTTGGATTTGCAACATGTTGACGTAGTCAGAATTCTTGAATGAGCAAACCTCACAGTTTGCTGAAATGTGTTTGCGAAGTTTCATGTTACGAAGCGCGTCATGCCTGATCATGTCGACTTGCAAGGAAGCACGACAAGAACCAATACAAGTAGATATTCCCAGGAGGCTGTCAAGTTGCGAGGAATCACGAGTCGTTTTGGACACTAAATGGACGTGCCACTCTCTTGGATCCAAAAATCAGATCTGGCTGATGATAAACAGAGTGGGGGATAGGAATGATGAGTATGCCATCTCACTCAGATCCTTTCGCATAGAACGTGGCGGAGGAGTTAGAACTTGGAGAAATCATGGCGACATGTCGCTGTGTTCCAACAATGGTGGTCCGTCATGTCACCAGAGCTTGGAATTCTCTCTGTTTGAAGGTCGGCATGAACACACATGAGCCCTAAACCCATGCCGATCGGTGCTACTTCACGTTCACCTCCGTTCCCCACCGGGTGCCCCAACAACATCTCCATCCATCGCCGTCCTCCTTCACCGGGAAGAGGTCCTCCTCACAGAGGCGGCGAAAAGCCTCGGCGTGGTGAATCAGGCCACAACATCTGCCCCAGAAACCTTGGGATTGTCCTCTGGGAATGCCACAACATCACGGTGGACATTCAGGAGAATTACTGTACCTGACCCCCCATGGTTCTGAGGTTCTTTTCCACCTATATGTCACTACTTTGCACCCGACAACTCGATCCTGATGCGTCTTTTGACCCAGCCACACCGATAAACACATATTATATAACTCCTGGAATTCCAATGTTGGTGGTAACGTCCGTAAAGATATTCCTATAGCCTCCAGCTGTTTGGGAACGGCATGGAGAGACACCACCGGTTCACGAGCGCAGCCAAAGGACAGCGGGAGGACAACAGCAAGAAAAGGACTAGAAGGGACGGACAACAACGACTGTGGCCAGTTTCTTTGTCCCTAAGAGAGAGCCCCAACAGTACACTGTTTGGGAATAAAAAACATCTGTTTCATTGGGAGCGACCTCAAACTCAGAAGATTTTGGGCGGGCGACTAGCTTCACACAGTACTCACAAAACACAGTGACTGTTCAATACCTCTAGCTGGGACTTAAGACTTAGTGCTTGCCATCACTTGTCCCTTGAACAAGGCTACTTGCAGCCATTACATCACTACAACAGAATAGCATCAATAAACGGTGAGGAGCTACGTCCTGCATTCTGCAAACAAATCAATTCGTCAGATTCCTTACCCTGATAACCTCAGTACCTTCCTACAGGGTAGGGCCAAGGCCCCAAGAAAACTCCCTCCAGCCCGGGACACTGTGCGTGCTAAGTGTCAGCTTCGTCGGAAATGGTCCCAAGACGTCCTGGGTGGCTTGGCTTTCACCACTCTTTCACGCGGGTACCAGTTATCAGCCAGAACACCTTAATGCTGCAACTGCCATTGGTAAGTGCTCAAACCAGGACACCTACCTCCTTGTTCCTCCTT